ATCGAAACTTTTTTGAGCATTTCTTGCAACTCCCATTTCTTCCTCTGCCTCCATTCTTTTCCCCATTTTCCCCCGAAAGCCGCCCCGTCCCCCACTCTTTTTCCATCCTTTTACATTGCTTTCATCCCTTATCCTTTCCCGCCCATTTCCAGGCCCATAGACTTGCACCCTTTTCACAGTCTTTGAGTGAACCTATTCCTGATCAGCTTTCGAGTAATCTTGTGTGTGTACGCGCCACTTGAGGTTGCAGAAGTGAGTCAGCTTGGCCGCGTGTGTGTTTTGGGTTTGTGTGTGTGTGTGTGTGTGTGTGTGTCCTGTCTGTCTATTTTTGAGATAGTCACTTGACATGCGTTAGGTTAGTAACACTTTTGAAGATTTCAGAATTATTTTTCTATATACCAATATTTACTATTACAATACTTAATGCTGCATAGTACATTCAGCATTTCCCATGTCGTTGAAAATATATGTTAGGCCACACAACTTTTTTGAAGACTTTCAGAATTATCTCTCATTATAATCTTGACTATTTAAAAAAACAATTATTATATCGTTGTTGACGTTGTAGATTAACCGGTACATTTGCCGGCCCGGCCCGGGTCGGGTCTTTACCAGGTGGTGACCCGGCCAATTATACCATTTACTGGTGCACAGGAGCTCTTTTAAAAGTACCCCGGCCAATTATACCATTTACTGGTGCACAGGAGCTCTTTTAAATGTACCCCGGCCAATTATACCATATACTGGTGCACAGGAGCTCTTTAAAAGTACCCCGCCAATTATACCATATTACTGGTGCACAGGAGCTCTTTTTAAAAATACCCCGGCCAATTATACCATTACTGGTGCACAGGAGCTCTTTTAAAAGTACCCCGGCCAATTATACCATTTACTGGTGCACAGGAGCTCTTTTAAAAGTACCCCGGCCAATTATACCATTTACTGGTGCACAGGAGCTCTTTTAAAAGTACCCCGGCCAATTATACCATTTACTGGTGCACAGGAGCTCTTTTAAAAGTACCCCGGCCAATTATACCATTTACTGGTGCACAGGAGCTCTTTTAAAAGTACCCCGGCCAATTATACCATTTACTGGTGCACAGGAGCTCTTTTAAAAGTACCCCGGCCAATTATACCATATACTGGTGCATAGAAGCTCTTTTAAAAGTACCCAATAGGTACAGTCAGCACTATCCATGTATATGAAAGTCACTATTTATATAATGTTAGGCTGGTGCTCCTCTTTTCTGAAGTGTTTATATTTTTTTTCTATTCCTAATTATATATAATAACAATTACTTTTATATTGCTTACTAGCGCATGGAGATGAAAATTAATCCTAATTATTTAGCTATCTTAATATTATAGTAAACATTGTGTCAGGGCTGCCCCCTACTTATCTCCTGGCACTCAGAGGGAGAGTCTGATCCTACACATCCAGCTGTAAGAGACTCGACAAAGAAGTCTTCCAGATTACTCCCACATGTAGACAAGAATTAGTTGTTGTTATTCACAGCATTGTTGAAGTTCTCCATGGACTAACACCCTGGATTGTCTACACTTCCTGGTGTCCATGAACTAACACCCTGGATTGTCTACACTTCCTGGTGTCCATGAACTAACACCCTGGATTCTCTACACTTCCTGGTGTCCATGAACTAACACCCTGGATTCTCTACACTTCCTGGTGTCCATGAACTAACACCCTGGATTCCCTACACTTCCTGGTATCCATGAACTAACACCCTGGATTCCCTACACTTCCTGGTATCCATGAACTAACACCCTGGATTCTCTACACTTCCTGGTCTCCATGAACTAACACCCTGGATTCCCTACACTCCTGGTGTCCATGAAACTAACACCCTGGATTCTCTACACTTCCTGGTGTCCATGAACTAACACCCTGGATTCTCTACACTTCCTGGTATCCATGAACTAACACCCTGGATTCTCTACACTTCCTGGTATCCATGAACTAAAACCCTGGATTCCTACACTTCCTGGTATCCATGAACTAACACCCTGGATTCCCTACACTTCCTGGTATCCATAAACTAAACCCTGGATTCCCTACATTCCTGGTATCCATGACTAACACCCTGGATTCCCTACACTTCCTGGTATCCATGAACTAAACACCCGGAATTCCCTACACTTCCTGGTATCCATGAAACTAACACCCTGGATTCCCTACACTTCCTGGTATCCATGACTAACACCCTGGATTCCCTACATTCTACTGGTATCCATAAACTAACACCCTGGATTCCCTACACTTCCTGGTATCCATGACACTAACACCCTGGATTCCCTACACTTCCTGGTATCCATGAACTAACAGCCCTGGATTCTCTACACTTCCTGGTGTCCATGAACTAACACCCTGGATTCTCTACACTTCTGGTGTCCCATGAACTAACAACCCTGGATTCTCTACACTCCTGGTATCCATGAACAACACCCTGGATTCCCTACACTTCCTGTGTCCATAAACTACAACCTGGATTCCCTACACTATCCTGGTATCCATGAACTAACACCCTGATTCCCTACACTTCCTGGTATCCATAAACTAACACCCTGGATTCCTACACTTCCTGGTATCCATGGAACTAACACCCTGGATTCCCTACACTTCCTGGTATCCATGAACTAACACCCTGGATTCTCTACACTTCCTGGTGTCCATGAACTAACACCCTGGATTCTCTACACTTCCTGGTCTCCATGAACTAACACCTTGGATTCTCTACACTTCCTGGTGTCCATGAACTAACACCCTGGATTTCTACACTTCCTGGTGTCCATGAACTAACACCCTGGATTCTCTACACTTCCTGGTGTCCATGAACTAACACCCTGGATTCTCTACACTTCCTGGTGTCCATGAACTAACACCCTGATTTCTACACTTCCTGGTGTCCATGAACTAACACCCTGGATTCTCTACACTTCCTGGTGTCCATGAACTAACACCCTGGATTCTCTACACTTCCTGGTGTCCATGAACTAACACCCTGGATTCCCTACACTTCCTGGTATCCATGAACTAACACCCTGGATTCTCTACACTTCCTGGTGTCCATGAACTAACACCCTGGATTCCCTACACTTCCTGGTGTCCATAAACTAACACCCTGGATTCTCTACACTTCCTGATTCCATGAACTAACACCCTGGATTCCTACACTTCCTGGTGTCCATGAAACTAACACCCTGGATTCCCTACACTTCCTGGTGTCCATGAACTAAACACCCTGGATTCCCTACACTTCCTGGTGTCCATGAACTAACACCCTGGATTCCCTACACTTCCTGGTGTCCATGAACTAACACCCTGGATTCTCTACACTTCCTGGTATCCATGAACTAACACCCTGGATTCCCTACACTTCCTGGTATCCATGAACTAACACCCTGGATTCCCTACACTTCCTGGTATCCATGAACTAACACCCTGGATTCTCTACACTTCCTGGTGTCCATGAACTAACACCCTGGATTCTCTACACTTCCTGGTGTCCATGAACTAACACCCTGGATTCTCTACACTTCCTGGTATCCATGAACTAACACCCTGGATTCCCTACACTTCCTGGTGTCCATAAACTAACACCCTGGATTCCCTACACTTCCTGGTATCCATGAACTAACACCCTGGATTCCCTACACTTCCTGGTATCCATAAACTAACACCCTGGATTCCCTACACTTCCTGGTGTCCATGAACTAACACCCTGGATTCCCTACACTTCCTGGTATCCATGAACTAACACCCTGGATTCTCTACACTTCCTGGTGTCCATGAACTAACACCCTGGATTCTCTACACTTCCTGGTCTCCATGAACTAACACCTTGGATTCTCTACACTTCCTGGTGTCCATGAACTAACACCCTGGATTCTCTACACTTCCTGGTGTCCATGAACTAACACCCTGGATTCTCTACACTTCCTGGTGTCCATGAACTAACACCCTGGATTCTCTACACTTCCTGGTGTCCATGAACTAACACCCTGGATTCTCTACACTTCCTGGTGTCCATGAACTAACACCCTGGATTCTCTACACTTCCTGGTGTCCATGAACTAACACCCTGGATTCTCTACACTTCCTGGTGTCCATGAACTAACACCCTGGATTCCCTACACTTCCTGGTATCCATGAACTAACACCCTGGATTCTCTACACTTCCTGGTGTCCATGAACTAACACCCTGGATTCCCTACACTTCCTGGTGTCCATAAACTAACACCCTGGATTCTCTACACTTCCTGATATCCATGAACTAACACCCTGGATTCCCTACACTTCCTGGTGTCCATGAACTAACACCCTGGATTCCCTACACTTCCTGGTGTCCATGAACTAACACCCTGGATTCCCTACACTTCCTGGTGTCCATGAACTAACACCCTGGATTCCCTACACTTCCTGGTGTCCATGAACTAACACCCTGGATTCTCTACACTTCCTGGTATCCATGAACTAACACCCTGGATTCCCTACACTTCCTGGTATCCATGAACTAACACCCTGGATTCCCTACACTTCCTGGTGTCCATGAACTAACACCCTGGATTCTCTACACTTCCTGGTATCCATGAACTAACACCCTGGATTCCCTACACTTCCTGGTATCCATGAACTAACACCCTGGATTCTCTACACTTCCTGGTATCCATGAACTAACACCCTGGATTCCCTACACTTCCTGGTATCCATGAACTAACACCCTGGATTCCCTACACTTCCTGGTATCCACGAACTAACACCCTGGATTCCCTACACTTCCTGGTGTCCATGAACTAACACCCTGGATTCCCTACACTTCCTGGTGTCCATGAACTAACACCCTGGATTCCCTACACTTCCTGGTGTCCATGAACTAACACCTTGGATTCTCTACACTTCCTGGTCTCCATGGACTAACACCCTCCATTCCCTACACTTCCTGCTCTCAATGAACTAACACCTTTCCTTCCTGCCTCAACAGACCTCCAAGATGGTGACTTCGGCATGTACAAGTGTATCTCAAAAAATTCCATCGCGGAGACGGATGGTTCCATCACTCTTAATGGTAAGGAATTAACCTTGGGTGTATATATATATAATATATATATATATATATATATATATATATATATATATATATATATATATATATAGTCGTGCCGAATAGGCAGAACTTGCGATCTTGGCTTAAATAGCAACGTTCATCTTGCCATATAGGACAAGTGAAATTTGTGTATGCAATAATTTCGCCAAAATCATTCTGAACCTAACGAAAAAATATATTTCACTGTGTTTGTTTAGTATTAAATTATTGTAAACAAATCTAAAATATATTTAGTTGGGTTAGAATAAAATAAATTGCTCCTGTTATAATAAGGTTAGGAAAGCTTTCTAAGATTCTTTTGGTGCAAAATTAAAAATTTTGCATTAACATTAATGAAAAAAATATATCTTTAAAGGTATTAAAGAAAATTTCAGAAAAAAACTTATTTTTCAATGAGTTCTTGCTAATTGACCAGTTTTACATATTCGGCACGACATATATATATATATATAATATATAATATATATATATATATATATATATATATATATATATATATATAATATATAAATATAATATATATATATATATACGATCAATAATAACACTGCACTAGCCAGTGAGTGGAACATATGCTGCTTTGGCCAGCCTCATGTTCAGCGACAACGCATGACGCTTTAGACCACTAGACCAGACAATCAACGCATCCAACCAAGCTGGGTACAACATCGACCTTAGCTAGATGTTGTAACATCTAGCTTGGAGCCTCCCTGGGTTGTTGCTATCTACCAACCCACTACCACAGGGCGGTAGTACCTCACTGGGTGGTTGTTTACCAACCTACTACCACAGGACGGTAGTACCTCCCTTGGTTGTTGCTGTCTACCCTACTACCACAGGACGGTAGGACCTCCCTGGGTGGTTGCTGTCTACCAACCTACTACAGAGGACGGTAGTACCTCCCTGGGTGGTTGTCTACCAACCTACTACCACAGGATGGTAGTACCTCCCTGGGTGGTTGTTGTCTACCAACCTACTACCACAGGACGGTAGTACCTCCCTGGGTGATTGTTGTCTACATACCTACTACCACAGGATGGTAGTACCTCCCTGGGTGGCTGTTGTCTACCAACCTACTACCACAGGATTGTAGTACCTCCCTGGGTGGTTGTTGTCTACCAACCTACTACCACCGGACGGTATTAGCTCCATGGGTGGTTGCTGTCTACCAACCTACTACCACAGGACGGTAGTACCTCCCTGGGTGGTTGTTGTCTACCAACCTACTACCACAGGACGGTAGTACCTCCCTGGGTGATTGTTGTCTACCAACCTACTACCACAGGACGGTAGTACCTCCCTGGGTGGTTGTCTACCAGCCTACTACCACAGTATTGTAGTACCTCTTGGGTGGTTGCTGTCTACCAACCTACTACCACAGGAAGGTAGTACCTCCCTGGGTGGTTGCTGTCTACCAACCTACTACCACAGCATGGTAGTACCTCCCTGGGTGGTTGTCTACCAACCTACTACCACACGATGGTAGTACCTCCCTGTGTGATTGCTGTCTACCAACCTACTACCACAGGATGGTAGTACCTCCGTGGGTAGTTGTTGTCTACCAACCTACTACCACAGGATGGTAGTACCTCCCTGGTTGGTTGATCCTACCAACCTACTACCACAGGATGGTAGTACTTCCCTGGGTGGTTGTCTACCAACCTACTACCACAGGATGGTAGCACCTCCCTGGGTGGTTGTCTACCAACCTACTACAACAGGATGGTAGTACCTCCCTGGGTGGTTGTCTACCAACCTACTACCACAGGATGGTAGTACCTCCCTGGGTGATTGTTGTCTACCAACCTACTACTACAGGATGGTAGTACCTCCCTGGGTGGTTGTCTACCAACCTACTACCACAGGATGGCAGTATCTCCCTGGTTGGTTGTCTACCAACCTACTACCACAGGATGGTAGTACCTCCCTGGGTGGTTGTCTACCAACGTACTACCACAGGATGGTAGTACCTTCCTAGGTGCTTGTTGTCTACCAACCTACTACCACAGGATTGTAGTACCTCCCTGGGTGATTGTTGTCTACCAACCTACTACCACAGTATGGTAGTACCTCCCTGGGTGGCTGTTGTCTACCAACCTACTACCACAGGATGGTAGTACCTCCCTGGGTGGCTGTTGTCTACCAACCTAGTACCACAGGATTGTAGTACCTCCCTGGGTGGTTGCTGTCTACAATCCTACTACCACAGGATTGTAGTACCTCCCTGGGTGGTTGTCTACCAGCCTACTACCACCGGACGGTAGTAGCTCCATGGGTGGTTGCTGTCTACCAACCTACTACCACAGGACGGTAGTACCTCCCTGGGTGGTTGTCTACCAACCTACTACGACAGGACGGTAGTACCTCCCTGGGTGGTTGTTTTCTACCAACCTTCTACCACAGGACGGTAGTACCTCCCTTGGTGGTTGTCTACCAGCCTACTACCACAGTATTGTAGTACCTCCCTGGGTGGTTGTTGTCTACCAACCTACTGCCACAGGATGGTAGTACCTCTCTGGGTTGTTGCTGTCTACCAACCTACTACCACAGGATGGTAGTACCTCCCTGGGTGGTTGCTGTCTTCCAACCTACTACCACAGGAAGGTAGTACCTCCCTGGGTGGTTGCTGTCTACCAACCTACTACCATAGGATGGTAGTACCTCCCTGGGTGGTTGTCTACCAACCTACTACCACAGGATGGTAGTACATCCCTGTGTGATTGCTGTCTACCAACCTACTACCACAAGATGGTAGTACCTCCATGGTTGGTTGTTCCTACCAACCTACTACCACAGGATGGTAGTACCTCCCTGGGTGGTTGTCTACCAACCTACTACCACAGGATGGTAGTACCTCCCTGGTTGGTTGTCTACCAACCTACTACCACAGGATGGTAGTACCTCCCTGGGTGGTTGTCTACCCACCTACTACCACAGGATGGTAGTACCTTCCTGGGTGGTTGTTGTCTACCAACCTACTACCACAGGATGATCGTACCTCCCTGGGTGGTTGTCTACCAACCTACTACCACAGGATGGTAGTATCTCCCTGGGTGGTTGTCTACCAACCTACTACCACAGGATGGTAGTACCTCCCTGGGTGGTTGTCTACCAACCTACTACCACAAGATAGTAGTACCTTCCTGGGTGGTTGCTGTCTACCAACCTGCTACCACAGGATGGTAGTAACTTCCTGGGTGGTTGCTGTCTACCAACCTGCTACCACAGGATGGTAGTACCTCTCTGGGTGGTTGTCTACCAACCTACTACCACATGATGGTAGTACCTCCCTGGGTGGTTGTTGTCTACCAACCTACTACCACAGGATGGTTGTACCTCCCTGGGTGGTTGCTGTCTACCAACCTGCTACCACAGGATGGTAGTATCTCCCTGGGTGGTTGTCTACCAACCTACTACCACAGGATGGTAGTTCCTCCCTGGGTGGTTGTCTACCAACCTACTACCACAGGATGGTAGTACCTCCCTGGGCGGTTGTTATCTACCAACCTACTACCACAGGATGGTAGTACCTCCCTGGGTGGTTGTTGTCTACCAACCTACTAACACAGGATGGTAGTACCTCCCTGGGTGGTTGTCTACCAACCTACTACCACAGGATGGTAGTACCTCCCTGGGTGGTTGTTGTCTACCAACCTACTACCACAGGATGGTAGTACCTCCCTGGGTGGTTGTTGTCTACCAACCTACGACCACAGGTTGGTGGTACCTCCCTGGGTGGTTGTCTACCAACCTACTACCACAGGATGGTAGTACCTCCCTGGGTGGTTGTCTACCAACCTACTACCACGCGATGGTAGTACCTCCCTGGGTGGTTGTCTACCAACCTACTACCACAGGATGGTAGTACCTCCCTGGGTGGTTGTTGTCTACCAACCTAGTACCACAGGATAGTAGTACCTCCCTGGGTGGTTGCTGTCTACCAACCTACTACCACAGGATGGTAGTACCTCCCTGGGAGGTTGTTGCCTACCAACCTACAACCACAGGAGGGTAGTACCTCCCTGGGTGGTTGTCTAGCATCCTTCTACCACAGGATGGTAGTACCTCTCCGGGTGGTTGTCTAGCAACCTACTACCACAGGATGGTAGTACCTCCCTAGGTTGTCTACCAACCTACCACCACAGGATGGTAATACCTCCCTGGTTGGTTGTTCCTACCAACCTACTACCACAGGATGGTAGTACCTCCCTGGGAGGTTGTCTACCAACCTACTACCACAGGATGGTCGTACCTCCCTGGGTGGTTGTCTACCAACCTACTACCACAGGATGGTAGTACCTCCCTGGGTGGTTGTTGTTTACCAACGTACGACCACAGGATGGTAGTACCTCCCTGGGTTGTTGTCTACCAACCTACTACCACAGGATGGTAGTACCTCCCTGGGTGGTTGTTGTCTATCAACCTACGACCATAGGGTCGTAGTACCTCCCTGGGTGGTTGTTGTCTACCAACCTACTACCACAGGATGGTAGTATCTCCCTGGGTGGTTGTTGTCTACCAACCTACTACCACAGGACGGTAGTACCTCCCTGGGTGGTCGTTGTCTACCAACTACGACCACAGGGTGGTAGTACCTCCCTTTGTGGTTGTCTACCAACCTACGACCACAGGGTGGTAGTACCTCCCTGGGTGGTTGCTGTCTACCAACCTACTACCACAGGATGGTAGTACCTCCCTGGGTGGTTGCTGTCTACCAACCTACGACCACAGGATGGTAGTACCTCCCTGGGTGGTTGTCTACCAACCTACGACCACAGGGTGGTAGTACCTCCCTGGGTACAACAGAGAAATTAATATGCTTTCGTACACGAATCACACATCTTAAATTAGATTATACCAGAACCAAATTGAATAATTTAGGAAAAAACGCTATACAGGGGAACATGGAACGGAACAATGTATATATAATGATATTAAAACTCTAATGTAAAATATAGAAT